CAGCACCCCTCCTGCAGTGAGAAGAGAAGACCTCGCACCAGACCTTACAGGGTGGTGGATATGCACCAGAGTGCCCGCGAAGGCGCGCAAATCTAGCACCCGGCAGAGGCAACAGAGAGCGCACGCGCACACACAACCTGCAAATTAGATTGGGTGTTTGGGAGTTTTTTGTTTTGTTTTGTTTTGAATTGAAGGTACAATTTCCCTTGCATATTATCTTGTATTACAAGGAGTCAAAGATTAGTCCGAACTGAATAAGCGATTTTCTGGTATATTTATTATATTGGTACAGTTATATAGTGTATTATATACTGTATATTTGGTATAATTATTTTATATAATCCATGTAGAGGAGAGCTACTCAGCACTGGTAAGGCCACATCTGGAATTTTGTGTCCAGTTCTGGGCTCCCCAGTACAAAGGAGGAGACAAGGCCATACTGGTGAGGGTCCAACAAAGGGCCATGAAGCATTCTCCTCTCAGGGAAGGCTGAGAGAGCTGTGGCTGTTTAGCCTAGGGATATACACTGGAAGGAAAGGTACAAAAAAAAAATTAATTAAAAAAAATGAGCCAGGCTCTTTTCCATGGTGTCCAGTGACAGGATAAAAGGGCACAAACTGAAACACGAGAGTTTCCCTCTGAACACCAGGAAAACTTTTTTACTGTGCAGGTGACCAAGCACTGGCACAGGCTGCCCAGGGAGGCTGTGGAGTCTCCATCCTAGCAGATACTCAACAAGCCATCTGGGCATAGTCCTGGGCAACCATCTGGTTGGACCAGATGACTTTCAGACATCCCTTCCACCCTCAACCATTCTGTGATTCTATGCAAACTGACTGCCAGAGGCCATTCTACAACTCACTATGTAAATCTTGGAATTGTAAACCCAGTGCCATAAAGATTTCAGAGTTTAGAAAACACTCCAAACCCATCAGGCCACTTCATACAGCATTTTGAAATAAAAGATGGTTTCCTTGAAAGCAGAAATTGACCCGTCTCATTTTAGATCTTAATGTATTAATTTTTGGGAAATGCTATGTATTTAATAAAACAAACAGAACAACATACCCAAAACAAGATCAAGCTATATTTCATCCTTAAGGTGCCATACAATTAATCCAAGAATAAACCAGAATAAATTATTTCTTACACTTTTGGCTACAAACTTGTACCCTTCCAGCCCCAGGCAGCAGCCATGAAAGTTGGGGAAAAACACAACAAAGCAAAGAAACCCCATGCTTTTTCCTCCTATTTAATCTAACAGCTACTTTTTTTATTCTCCTCAATAGGAGTTAATCTATCTCAGCCGTATCTGATTAATACTGTGCATCATATACAACTACAGCAGTATTTTCTGAGCACAATATGCATCTTTTATTTCTCACCATTAAAACAGGCTGAGGGAAGAAGGGAAAAAAGCCCAAAAATTAAATCAGTTTTTTCTGTGCCCACAAAGTTTCCATACAGCATTTTTGTTTAGACTAAAACCAAATATTTACAACTTCAGTATCCATTCTTGGTGGGAGATGTTTGAAATACAACGAGGAACTACCAATAGCTACAAGATGAAGTGTGAAATTGAAATAACTGTGTTCTTTCATGTAAGAAAGGTTTTGTTGTGTTGTGTTTTGTTTTGGCTTTTTGTTTGTCATGTTTTGTTTTTTTTAAAATAGCAATTAAAAAACCAGCATGTGAACCTTTAAAGTGTTTACTCTTTAATCTTTCAGAGTAGTTCCCAGTTTTAAAGCAATTTCAAAGCAGTTTTCAAGTAATGGGAATCTTCAGATGAAACAACATTTAAAAAATGTTAGCTTTCGGTGCCTGAACTAGTTATCTACTGCCTTACAACTGACATTCTATGGATTATTCACTGTAAAGATCAAACTAGTGCTGTCCACTAGTTTGCAGACACACTGTTTCACAGAAATATTCCAGAAATTACTTGTATTTCATAAACAGCTCATCTAAAATAAGATCTACACTATTTCTTCTTTCTGCTGAGCCTGAAAAAGAAAAATTGTTCATTGACAGTCCCTATTAACTTAGCAACACACATATAGATCACAGCAAAAATAAACTGAATAGTCTGCTATTTAATAGCAATGATTTCACATGTTCACAAACAGCAGCAAGGGAGCTGTGTAGAAGATAAAGATATTAAACTTTGTAATAAGTAGTGGTAATTGTGATTTTTTTTTTTTTTTTTTGAAGTAACAGAAGCAAGTAGAAAACAGAAAGTGTTAGATGTAAGTAATCAACCATAGATACAGAGTAATTGAAAAGAAAATCAAACAACTAGTTTAAATTAATATATTTTAGACAAGGAAACAACTGGTACAAAGGCTGAATTGGAACCATGATTTTCGAGGTGAGGCACACCCTTCCTTAGTACCTCAAAAACCCAAACCTTAAAGGAATATTTAGTTTGGAATGGTTTAAATACCGGAGAATGGTAGTCTCTAGATTGACTTAATTCTTTCCTAATTTCTGGAAGGAAATAGCTGAAATAATAAATTTGGAAAATGCACATTTGAGGTATTCCAGCAATTTGACACTGCTATTTAATAAGCAAGTTAATTTATTATTATCCAACCTGATTTTTACCACCTACTCAATTCTAACTTGGAGGTCTTAAATCACTAACAAGAATAAGTAATACAAGGTTTTAGTAACAAATTAGTATCTTCTCTGGAATAAAAATTTTTGCACTGTTGAGGAAGGTTCATTCAAATCAGGTAATTTCAGTTACATTCCTATGGCTTTTCAGCAAAAAAAAGCAAGCAGTTTTATTGTATGTACACAATATCGAATATCAATATTTTAAATATTAATAGCCTATATTCACTGTGGATTTCCAAGATTTACATCCAAAAAGCTTGCTTTTTTTTTTACATGCTGTTGACATTTTAAAGAAAGCTAAATAAAACTGTATCTGTTAAGGAATTATGATCTTTCCTGAATTAAAAAGATACATGTAACACCACTAAACATTTCTAACATTTGCAATGAAAAACAGCTTTCTGTGCCAATTATACTTTCTAAGAATGTAAGATTTCACTGATAACTGCACTAACTACAACAAGACTTTAAACATTTAGTACCTGAGAGTCAAATCTAATTTTTTTTTTTTTCTGAAAGAAAATTCTACAAGTTTCTATATCCTAATGTTACTTTAAGCACATATTGCTCAGTGGTCAACAACAACAAAAATAACCCCAAACAAACAGTGCATTAGTTCTGCAGTCCAAAATAACAGATCACTATAAATTTGTTGCAGTAGTTTGATAAATGCCAGACCTACCAGCCACAGTAAGGACTTATTTCAAAGTATCCTTTCCCACCAAGTGTACCTAATTAAATAATGAATGTCTTTGGCCAATTCCTCTGAGTTCCTACATTTATGTAATCATGCATTAGTTTAAGTATGCATCTGAGATCCTTGAGGTTTCCCACCTCAAACATACATATACAGGTGTTTTCATAGCTAGGATCAGAATAAAAAATAACAAAACCAACAAAATCCAAACAACAACAACAAAACCCCCACAAAACACAAAAAAAGATGAAGAGGCATAGAAAGCTAGAAATACTGGCCAGAAAGCATTCAAAGTTTAATGAAAAGTTTTATATCAACCCCAAAGGCCTTTAAAAATCAGCATCATTCTGAAGCAGCATTCACCGTATTACTAAAAACATTTAATTAAAGAAAAAAAAAAAGTTGTCCTAACAGCTACATTTTACTGGATTGCAGGATGTAAAAAGTAAGCACATCTATAAAGTCTGTGGCAGAGAAGCACTGCACACAAAGATACTCCCATTTTGTAGTGGCTATTTTATTTCTGCACTTGGAAAAATTATGCTCCTTCTTGAGTGAAATAGCTTTCCCCTCCCTCCTAGTATCCTTCAGAAACTGTGCTTGACCAAGAGCATCTCCCAGGAGGGTCTTGAGAAGGCCAGGACTTCACCATTCTGCAGCTGTTTTCCAGTTTTAGTAGTCTGCCCTTCTCATTCAGATAGCTGGCAATGTAGTAGTGGTCCTTCCAGGCTGAAAGCAGGCAAACTGCTATTGACCACTCTCTAAATTCAACAGTCTGCATTTAATTAAAATTATTTTCCCTGCAACCCAGAAACTTATCTCAAACGACCACCAAATAATACATAAGTATTGGTAGCTCTGAAACAGTTACTCCTGCATTTCATTGGGACAGATCTTTGCCATTTAGACCGGTGCATTCATTAGAGTTTTAAACTTAACTGCACCATACAGCAACACACTCAGAATCTCCATATACTGCAGAAACCTAACTTACAATTTGAAAACTAGATCTGCATTACTACTACTTCACCTTCTTCCCCACTAAGACAATGTAAAATCAACTCCCAGCATACACTTTTTCCTGGGTTTAGGATCTTTCTTTTCCTAAGGCAGTAGCATGAACAAGCATATAGGTCTCTTTATCTATACAGAACAAAATCAACAATGTGGCAGATGTCCTTTTAAGTAAAAAATTTAAAAAAGTGATACCTTCTAATTAGGTGACATTTAATTACCTAATGTAGCTCTACTCAATGTTTTTTTTTTCCAAAACTCCCAAAATTTCTGTCTCGGTATGTTACAGGTTAGCAGGGATCTTTTTTTGTATGTTTTACAGAGATTACTTTTAAGTCACCCCTCCCCCCACCAAAAAAACCCCCAACAACACAAAACAACCCAAAACAACCGAAAAAAAAACCAAAAAAAAAAAACCAATGGTAAACAGCCACAAGCTTTGTCATTCATTGACATAAAGCAGCAGATACATTGAAGAATATTCTGCTATTAATACAGAGGAAGTAAAACTTTTTATAGTATTTAAGATTGTGTGTTTTATCCCTTTGATTCTGGAATACAAGTAGACTAATTTTAAGTTAAAAAAAAAGTAAGTGTATACAAATTAAGAGAAAACTGTAAGAGTTAGAATATACATCACAATGCAATTATACTATACTTCATGCCTAGGAACATACAAGATTTCAAAAGTCATTATTTGTGGAAATAACCTCTTCCAAACTACTGAAAAAAATGAAATGTTCAATGCACTACTAAGGTTTTCATAGGTGATCAGATGTTTACTCAGTTTCTTCACCACCTGCCGTTTAACAAATCTTGCTCATTCACTGTTCAGAAGAGTTCTCATCCCAACAATGGGAGATGGCTTGGCATCGATAAGGCAAATCACTTGGTACAGTTTTTACTAAGGTTAAATAAACCCATGATGTCAACCATTGCTTTTTGGATGTTTTTTCCAAAACGATGAGAATCCTTTAAAAGCAAACACAAAACAAAAGCAAAGACTTGTACTGTCAATCAACAGTTATATTCTAGGCAAAAGAAGGAACATTTTAAAATTTTGTAATTTTGGAGCTTACAGAGTTAGGGCATGTATTTTACCATAAAATGGGAAATTTAAACCACAAAATTTTTAATGTTATATAAAGTAACCCAAGTTTATGCTACTACTGACTAATGAGTTCTTAATTTTGCATTTACTTTCCTATAGACAGAACTCAAGTTATCTATTTCTTTCTGAAATCAGATGCAGTGATTTACTGTAAAACAGGTGGGTTTCAGTATTTTTTTAATTCAAGATTTTGCAAAAACTAATTTTTCAGAAAACAAAAAAATGTTCAGGAAGTATATGACTAATGAAGCACTACTGTACGACCAGAAGTACTGAAAGAGCAGAAAAACATTTTGTATTTGAGTTCATGTCAGTATTCTGAATCTTTTGCCATTAAAACATTACATAAAGCATTGAAAATGAAAATCACAATTATCTAAGTATAAACAAACTATGAACTTGTTCTAGTTAAGTGTCAGATGAATGCTACAAGGAGCAAATTAAGATTGCAAATATAAATTATGCGCTACATTACAGGACCTACTACAAAGATCCTACTAATACCAAGGCCACACACAGGAAAAACTAGTTCAGCTATGTAATCCTGAACAAACTCATAATGTCTATTCAAGTCATAAAAATCTGAAGGGAACGGGCAAATTGAAAAGCACTCAAAGCAGGCCTCTGCAACAGCAGGGTATTGAATAGATGACATCTACTACATTATAACTGGATGTTATTCTAATTTTTTTTTTATTATGTTTCTCAAGTACAGATTACAATTTATAGGACAGTTTTTTTCAGTATTATTTAAACTAAGATGATTTAAAGAATAGGGTGCATACATTTTACTCTCTCTTTACAACTGCAGCCAGATACAAATCAAAGCAAAACCTCAGTAACTAAAAATACACCCATCTTACTGTTTGTGGGACAGATACGAGTAATTTTACATGAGTTCCAGAGAACTACATGCATACAAAGAGGACCCTGGGCACATATCTTCTTTACACTTGAAAGCATAAGTGAAATAGAATTGACTTCCTTGATTCATAAAGCTATTAAATGTATAGAAAGGGAGATTAAAAAAATCCCACCAAAATGCCAGATGTTGAAAAAGAAAAAACACATTATAACTGTATGTTGCAAGTCCTACTACATTTTTTTTAGACAATGAGTAGAAGATTTATAAGCAGATATCAGAACAGGTTTATTAAACCACAGGAAAAGACTGACCCTTACCGTCTCAGAACAAGAAACTTTGCTGGAAACATGGAAATGGATGGAATTTTCATCCAAGATAATGTAAGAAACACCATAACCATCATCAGCCACCTAGAAGAAGGAAGAAGAGAAAAACAAGTTCTATTTTTTATTTTTTTCCTTCCAATCCTAAATTCTCTTATACATAATTACACAATTCTTACTGTTTTTAAAATAAGTTGCAGTTTTTCCTCAAGCAAAAATTAAGCTTCCATATTCAATGCATAATTTCTGAAGATTGATTCCACTTAAGGAAACAATTTAGGCTCCTCTGAATTGCACAGAATTAACATTTCTGAATATATGTAATATTTCCCAGTTTAAGTATTTTGAAATAAATACTTGCTCTAAGACTGCTCCTAAGCAGCTATACAGCTTCAGTGTTTAAGTAATAAGGAACAAAATAGTTCAGTTGTATACCTAAACATCCTGTTTCAGGGGATCCCTCTGCAGATATATACTCCTTTTTTATATTTTGTATTTGGTTACAAGAACTGTAGTATGAAAATTTGCCCAAAGTTAAAGACATCCAACTTTACAGCAAAGATAGGAGTCTCAACACCCATATCACAACAGCAGCTCTGGAATGATTTAAACATTAGCACCATTAACTGTTTGATGCTGTATTTAAAGTACGCCTAGTAAACACAGACTATCCTGCTACCACCCTCCTTCCCCTCTTTCCTAACTGAAAGGATCACAGCCTTTGAGCTCTTTGCTGCCACTGCTGCTAAGCAGACTGACAGACTTCTCTTTATTAGTGCTACAGGGCCACACTCTACAAAACACTTCAAAAAGAATACCCCTCCAAAACCACCCACACACAGAAAGCCTGATGTACTAAATCTCTGAGCTACTTCAGGAAACCGAAGCACAGTTTTTATAAGGATACAACAAAGTATGAAGGGAAATGTATGCAGGGTTCTTTGGAAAGGCAGACAACTGAAGGAAGGAAATGAAAGGAAAAAGTAGTAAGAAGGAAGCAGTTAAAGTATCATTAGCAAAAACAAAAGGAAAAAATGTTAGAAATTGATACAGTCAAAACCATATTTTATTGACAGACCACAGCTTTTTAGAGATTCTGTCTTTCTCATCTGCCAATTTCTCATGAATGAGCAGCATTGCAATAGCTAGGTTTCCTTGATAATGCAAATTAAATTCATTCCAACTTCAAGAGCTACTGATCAGAAACAAGAGCAATTTTTTTTCTTTAAAAAAAAAAGCACAAAAAACATCTTCCAGCTTGAGAAAGCAGCAAAAATACACTGTACTTGTCATCCTAATCTGTGTGGCAAAGAGCAGTACTGTGATCCCTCTCATTGTTCTTTCAACAGAAATGCTTTTTGAAAACAGAATAACCTAGTTCATAGCCCCATACAGATCTTGTAAACATTTATGATTATGAAGTTGTTAATGTTCAAATCCCAGTAAAATACTGCAAGTCAGAAGCTTGTAAAAATCTCTAACAGTATTCTAGTTACTTGAAAGTCTACAGAAATTGTAGAATGTGGTTTTATTCTTGACTTGGCTGGTATTCAAACTTAGGAGGGAATGCAGAACAATGCAAGTAGCTTAATTTGCAGCAAAGCATGAACATATTTTTTAATGAATCAGGAAACATAAGGAATAAGTCAAGCACTTTTACAAATCTCATCCTTACAATCTAGTTTAACTAATAAGGCATTTTTCATTGTAATAATTGCCCAATAGTTTCTATACATCTGGCTTTGGTAATGTGATAAAAGCACCCACTTTGTCAGATCTCTCTACCATAGAGACCTGTAGCACATTTTGTAACTACGTATTTCCTTAAGAATAATGCATTCTTGTAATTTGATATGACAAAAAGGTGATTAAAATTTTTCTGAGCACATAATGGGAAAGCATTAAACACATGCACTTAAAAGCATGTGTTGCACTTTTGATCTGCAACATTAAGGAATTACAGATCTGAAATGTTTAGACTAGCATATTCAAAATAAAACTTTTTTTAAAGGTGTACTTGTATTTAGCAAACATACCGGTCCAAATCCTCCACCACAGGATAACATCTCAGGGTTCTTCTTTAAGTCAATATGTTGCTGTGGTGTCTGACTTGTTGACAGCCTCCAAGGCTCTGACAACACCTTTTTTAGATATAAAAGACGCAAACAAGTATAACACACAGTTTAAGAACATGCAACTTTCTTAGAAACTAGTTAAGTTAGAAGTTAGTTAAGTTAGAAAGGACTCTATAAAGCAATACGAAGAATTTCTCCAGTTCTCATTTCAAGGGAAAGAACAATTAAGAAGTTTAAAAAAACAGCTAGATTTGTGATACACAAACCATTAACATAAGCTTGTGCTGTCAGATCCTCAAAAAGATTAAAAGTTCTTCCAAAAAAAATGCTATTTCAAACCAGATAAATCTGGTCTATAACCTGGTAAATTCTGCACAAGAGGTCTTGTTAGCAAGAGATCATTCACAGCAATATTCAAATCCTGGTAAGACACTATATCAAGTGTCATAAGGATTTAACATCAAGTTAGAAGCTTATAAAATCTCTAACATACACATAAAGTCTGTGGAAGCTGTAGAAAATTGTTTTATTCTTGACTTAACCACTACTCACATTTAGGAGGGCAAGCAGACAAATGTGAGTAGCTTAATTTGGAGGCAATCGAGAACAAATTTTTTATTAATCAGAAAACAGGAACAAGTGCAACCTTAAAATCTAGTTTGCCATGGTAATAAACAGTGACGTTAATATTGTGCATCAAACAAACAAAAGCAAACAAAAAAATTGCAACATGCAGCTCCTTTAACTAACAGTAACTTAAAAGAAAGTGATTTTGTCACAGTTCCAAAAGAACACTGAAAGAAAATACACAGCCTCTGTTGTGCTGACTTAAAAATATGCAAAAAACACAAGGAACCTTTTTTTTTTAAAATACTGATCTTGTGATCCTTAATACCACATATACTACAAAGCTCACAGAAATAATTACTATAGGTCTATTAATAATCAGTATTATTTACTGTAATTAATAGTTAACATTAAGTCACTTACTTCCTTAAGAAAAGGAGAATCTACAGCAAGATACTTGGACACGACATAAAGGCAGAACAGGTGGCGATCAATGCCAGCACCAGTCATAGCGAGACGATACAAGTGCTGGTGTTTGGCAGCAGCAAGCCGGAAGAACTTCAGCTTATTTTCATTCTAACAATGGAAGAAAAAGATGAAAAAAACACCATCATTTAAGAGAACCAGGTTGAGGACAGATGTGCAGAAAATAAGTTACAGCAACAGCTCTCAAACCTAGTGCACTTAAGGATCAAGTACAAGAAAAATGCAGGCAACCAACACCAAATATTAGTATTCTCTGGCTTTTCAATCTCATGTATTCAACTTCAAGTATTAGCAAGTGTCTATTATTAACTGCTGCAAACAGTACATAAAATAACAAATTTGTTTTCCTTAAGTGTGGTCTAACCCCAGAATCACACGTTATTACAACTCAAGTTTACTACATTATTATGTATTTAGTTTCTAAAAACACTGATCTTAAAAAGTTATAGGACAGTACATCTCAACATGATTTAAGAAAAGCTGGACCTGCAACAGCCATTTTAAGAAGACAAACTGACAACACTTAAGGTATTGCTGTCCATGAATCCTAATAATTTTTTAAAAGCCTTCTTTTAAGACCTCAAGAGCAGGCAATTCCAAAGTGCCAGAAGTCAAGCAAGTGGAGCAGAAGATCTGATTGGCTGAGTAGGGAAAAGAAAGGGTACAGACAGTGGAAGCAAGGACAAGTGACACAGGACGACAACAGAGATGCTGTCTGCCACCGTAGAGAGAAAATTTTTGCAGCCAAAGCTTGACTAGAGTTCAAGATGTCCAGTACTGTGAAGGGTAACAAATAGGGTTACTCATAAATAGGGAAATAGACAAAGCAGAGATGCTTAATGTCTTCTTCATATCAGTCTTTAACACCAATTATGAGCCCTCGGATCCCCAGAGCCCTGTGTTGGAAGACTGTGACTGGGGGGGATGATAAACTCCCAGTCAACTCTGAACTTGTTCAAGACTTGCTGTTCCACCAGAGGCCTTACAGGGAGATTTGGATAGACTACAGAGCTCAGCAATCACCAACTGTATGAAATTTAACAAGAGCAAATGCCAGATTCTCCATCTGGGATAGGGTAATGCTGGTGATGCACACAAACTGGGGCACGAGAGGCTGGAGAGCAGCCTCACAGAAAGAAAGTCAGGCCTTTGGGTCAGTGATAAATTGAATGAGTCAACAGTGTTTCCTGGCAGCCAAAAGGGGCCAACTATGTCCTGGGGTGCACCAAGCACATCACAACTAGCTGGTCATAGGAGCTGACTGTCCCATTCTATACTGCACTGATGCAGCCCCTCTTCAAGTACTACGTGCAGTTTTGGGCACCTCTATGTAAGAAGGACATAAAACTATTACTGTCTGTCCAGAGGAAGGCAATGCAGATGGTAAAAGGTCTTGAGGGCAAGACTTATGAGGAGTGGCTGAGATCACCTGGTTTATTCAGCTTAGAGAAGATAAGGCTGACGGGTGACCTCACCACAGTCTACAGCTTCTTAAACAGGGGCAAGAGAATGGGAGGTGCTGATCTCCTCTCTCTGGTGACCAGAGACAGGGAATGAGGAAACGGAATGAAGCTGCATCAGTGGAAGGTCAGATCGAAAATTAGGAATAGGTTCTTCACTGAGAGAGTGGTCAGTCACTGGAACAGGCTCCCCAGGGGTATGATCAGGGAACCAAGCCTGTTTGAGTTCAAGGAGTGTCTGGATGATACTCTTAACCATATGGCTTAGTTTTAGGTAGTCTTGTGAGGAGCAAAGAGTTGGTCTCAATGATCCTTATGGGTCCATTCCAATTTGAGATATTCTATGAACACTGTATGAATGTTGTAAAGGCTGAAAGCAAGTGTCTGTTAAAAACACTCAGAAAGCCATTCAGTTAAGATTTTATAATGTGGAATGCAAAACACTGAGTATATGGCAACCTCTCACTTCTTATCTCCAGCATAACTGCATTTTACACCACTTATTTGGGACACAGTGAGCAGTCTGTTTGCCTCCAGTGTGAAAACTTGTAGTCATACTAAGCATGTCTACCACTGGGATTCAGAAGTAAATTGTATAGTCCACAGAGGATACAAGTGCTCAGGAAAAATTCTTAGGAAAAATCCAGAGAATAGTAAAAGCAAGAGGTAAAAGTAGACAACTCTTTTCAAAATAATATGTAAATGCATGTCATATAACCTTCGTAACACAAAACCTAAAAATTGCTCTCTGAAGTCAGAGTTGCTCTGCTCTGTGGCTAATCATTCCAGATGAAGGGCAGTAATGAATCTACAAGTCTGAAAAATAATTTTGTTTGTAGTAACCATTAAAAAAAAAATAAATCAGAAACAAAAATGTGAAGTTAGCAGAATTAAGTCAGAGGTGTATATATATGTACACACACATATGATCTTGCCATGTATAGGGCCATGTATAGCTTTATTCCTTTAACAAAAATGTCGATGCTGACTGCAGAGATGTAATAGTCCTAATATTAGAGTTAACTACGTCAAAATTACTTTCTATACACAGGATAGTTGTACAGTAGCTGTGCCATTGTTACATATGACATGTTGACCTGGCTGGATTTCCAAATTTGCACTCTTTTGATCACAGCTCCCAGGCACAGCATATTGAGAAATCCAGCAGGACTTTATGTATATAGAATTTCCAGAGTGAGGTGGGAGAAAAAGCTTTCTCTCTTTCCTTGTATATTTATATTCTTGCAGTAACGTTTATTCATAGAATCATGGGGCTATAAAGAACCTCAACTGTTCATCTGCTTAGACTTCTCTGCCCTAAGATCTAATCAGCTAAAACTCCTTCCTGAAGGACCATTCTGTAACTTACTTAGAAAAATTTTCCAAGTGAAAAAACAACCTCCCCAAATAATCTGTTTCACTCTTATTATTTCCCTCCTTACTCATTATCCTTATTAGCAGAAAATGTTTCCCTAATGTGTTTTTTTCTGAAATTTAAGTCCACTAGTTCTTGGGACAGAGAACAGAGCAGTTCCATCATCCCTGCATCAGCCTTTTTATCCTCTTGAGCACAACCTGGTTCCCTAACTCTTCCACAGTGTTCTCTCTTCTTTAGGCCAGAATAATTAATTTCAAACTCTCCTTTCAGATCCTCTTCAGCGGTTTCTAATAATCTTTCTTGCTCTCCTTTATACTCTCCAATCCATCCATACCTCAGATGCTGTGTTCAAAACTGTACACACCATCCCAGCTAATCCTGTACTAGAAAAAATGTTCAGACACAAAAGACTACTAAAAATAAATGGCAAGACTAACTAAAGCAAGGGGTCCATTTTTCCCAATGGCATAGCACTGAATGTGCTATGTCAGCATTCAATTACTGATTATTATAGTCCTAGATCTTTTTAATTAGACCATACAGCTGTTACATAGGCCTGAGTAAAACACCTTGAGTACACTCCTAATCAACAAAATTCGCTTTTTCAGGTCAAATTTTTATTGACTCTGAAGAACTGGAAATCCCCTTCAGCTTAGCAAAGCCTGAAAATAGAATAATTTATTTAATCAAATGCATCTTACGAAAACTGACTAGCAGTGAATTAAAGGACAGACCTCAAGATGATAGTCCTCCACATTTCCATTTTGACAGCAAATATGCCAGTAATGGACTGGCATTATCTGAAGTTTTCCCCTAGACCATATCTCCTTTGCTAATCAGAACATCACAAGAAAGAATTAAAAGCTCACTGAAATCAACATATAAAAGCAACTATTAATTTCCTGTGAATAATACTTACTTCCCTGTCAGAAAGGAAAGCCTAACTGTTATGAGATTACTTGTTTTACAAATCTATCTTTGAATTTTACAAGTAAAAAATTTCACAAGTTTTCTGGAGTTCAGGAACTGTGAGAAATGGCACATTTGGCTAAGATACTGCCACTCTTTTTTGGTATAGCCTTGAATTTCTGCCATAGTGCCAGAAAATGTGGACCTGTTATCTTAGCTGCACTTCCTTTCCAAAAAACAAAAGCATCACTCTAAAGTGATTTGGGAATTTAGATGAATATGGAGTGATAACTCATGTACCTTACTGTTTATATAAAACAACAACATCATGTACTTACATTTTCAGTTGGGTCTTCCATGGCTTGAACAAAATTACATGATTCAACAGTACACGAACGAACAGTTTCTGTCCTGCCTTCTCTGAACAAGCGCGTCATGGATGCTTCATATGTTAAGGAAAATTTTCCCATATCCTTGAAAAGGGAAAAACAAGAACTTAAAGTTTTAGTTAGACTTAGTCCTTCTTTCTTAACAAACAGTTAAAGGTAACACAGGGTATGAAACACTCCACAGTTTAAACTCAACATTAAGTTTTTAGTAGCCCAGCATCAGCAGCCTTAAATAAACATAATAAAGGCAAAAATAAGATTAGCAGCAGAATATGATAACTCTAATAGAACAACTAAACTAGCAAGGACTACCCTCTGCATTTTTTAAGTTGATAACAGAAGCTGATTTAAAGGCTATCAAAAACCTATTTGAAATTAACAGAGCTGTGCTAAGTAATCAAGACCATTGTAACATCCTTAAAGGTATTTTCAATTAAAAATTTAATAGCATGGAAAAGCATGCCAAAGTGGGGATTATAAAAAAATGTGAGAACTGAAAATAGTCTGCAAAATCCAGGAAGTGTGGCTGTGTTTCCTGTAGATGTGCAGAATCTACAGATTACAAGTTGCCAAATGATAGAAGTTTTATCTAACACGTTAGCAGCTCTACCTCTCAAAAATGTGTATCAGAACAGACCATGAAAGTCCAGTTTTTGATTAAGAGGATGGGTGTTCAAAATAAAAGGGGTGGATGGGTAATCAATTATTTGCCATGTAGCTACCCTAAGCAAGGATAAAAACTACTGTAAATGGTGACAGCAGTCAGGAAATCTGGATGCTTTGAAAAGCCATTTGAAATTACTTTTTAAAAGAAATGAATTTAAAAAGTAGAACAGTATCTCACAGTGACAACTAGAAAGCAAAATGAAAAACATGCATGTTGCTACAGTGGTGTTTTCTGAAAGCATATTATAGAAGAGGTGAACTAAGGTAGATACTGACAAAGTGGTGAACTAATGAAGATAACACAGGCAGACATTTCTGCTAATCTTCTTAGGGAGTGTCCATGACCACTGAGCTAAGGGTGACTCAAAACTAAAATACAAGTTTAACATTGTTCAGATTATAATGCTTTTTAGATAGTAAACATGTCTACTTGAAGTTTTGTATCTACTTCTTTGAGGTCCAAAATGTCTAGGGACAGAACAAATAAGCAGAAGAGAATAACTTCTGTAAGTGTCAATATACCAACCTTCGGACAATTAATTTCCAGCTTGTAATCAGCTTAGGGTTTGTACCAATTTCCATTGAATGTCTTTAATAACCTTGCACAAGCAGTACAAGATTACTCTAAAGTACTTCACATAGTCACGTTTTGATAACAAATATGCTATACCAAATTTAATGAGATTCTATAAGGCAGAAACAGTCCTTTCTTACCCGATAGTGAGCAAGCTGCAGGGCAAGTTGCACAAATGCATCAGGGCTCGTTTTTGCTTTCTTTATTAGTCCTTTCCCAAAAACATCAAAAAAAAATGAATGGAAGTCCACATCATTTGCCAGAGCTATGGCAGTGCTCAGAGACCTCTCAATCATTTCTTGGCACTAAAACAAACAAACAAACAAATGCATATCTACATATGTGCATAGACATGTAGTCGATGGCATTTGAGAACACTGTTGAAAAAAAGCAAGTATTTTAAATTAAAAAAAAAATTTAAAAATGCTGCCTTTATGCATACCAGAAACATCATTATCTAAATCATCTCTCTTTGGAGGGAGAGGGGAATTAATGTTTGCCAGAAATTAAAATTCAAAAAGCTAATAAATAACTTTTAAGTCAATACACATCTGGAGTCAAAAAATTACCCTTCAAAAACCCACCAGCATTAAGACTGTTCAGATTAGTAGAATATAAAAGAATGACCCACAGAGTTTGAAAGGCAATAGTTAGTGACTTCCAATCAGCCATACATGCTTAATAAACATAACACCAAACATTAACTTTTAATTCAAAATTAAAATCCAAATAGGGGATTGTAGCTTGCCTTTAACTCAGGCATATACGGACTTTCAAACACACAGAAAAGACAGCTAATCTCAAGGAACTATTACAGAATAGCATTTGTTGTGACAACAGCAATGGAACTTCAGCAACTTAAACTTCATTTTAATACAGTTATATTTAAAATAGGTGGCCACTTAATTTATGACATATTGCCAACTAAGAAAGTTTCTAGTAAAAAGTTGGCGTTTCATCACCAGAATTTTTAAAGAGTGATGTTAAAAAGCCCAATTATCTTTTTAATTAAGCTGAGTAATGCCCACACATGAAACGCACATCTTGCAGGACTCAAAGGAATTTAAAATTAATTTATAAGGTTATCAGTAAGTAATAAATGATAAATAATGATAATAAATGGTAAATAAATGATTTGGCTGCAAGGGAAGAGGACTTCAAACTACTAGCTGTTCTGTACTTACTTCTTCTGGAATTTCCCACTGTAGTTTGGTGGGAATAGGAATACTTTGATTGGTCTCTCCTTTGCAATGACCATCTTCTGAATAGCCCAGTTCAAGATATTCAGTTGCCATTACATTCTGCAAAGAACAAAACTTCTTCAGAATTGGATTACATTACACATTACTGTGAAATTAGGATTTCACTGTGAAATCAGTATAACTCATTCTCAGTACATAGTGAATATAATAAACAATCCAATTCCAAATAATGAAAACAGCTGCAAGTGAAGCTCTGTTTCACTTCTTATTTGAAGACATTTTTACTTGTATTCTGAGAAGAATTCTAGAAATGTACAAGCACCTCTTCAATTACACTGGTGCATTATGTTAGATGCTACTGAATCGTATAAAAAGGTTTCCATTACAAATCCACTTCAAACTTCCTAGTAATAAAGAAAATCTGTCTTAGGGTCTTAGATGTCACAATCTTTGTCCAATTTAGATTCTAGAGACTTTCTAGAAGTTTTTATCTGTCAGAACTCATTAATCAAGAAACGATTTATTTCAGAGTAATTGCATATCCCTGCAAGAACTTAAATTTTTAAGGCTTGTATCCCACTCAAATCTGCTTTTCCATACATGCAGCTAGAGCTCTTGGGTGGCTAAGTTTCTAATATGAACAATACAATTTGAACAACAGACAAAAAAGGCTCTGTTTTAAGATTTCAAACAACATCCTCAATATAAAAAAAAAACCCAAAACAACAAACAGAAAAAAACCAAACCAAAACACAAACCACCAGAATTATCAATAGATTTGAATCTGCTCAATATGGAAAGAAAAACCTTGAGAAAAATCTATTTCATGTTCAACACAGATAGTTCTAACACCTTCTTTTAATTTCATTTTCTCACTTAGTGGTCAGAACATGCCCACTATGAAATAAAGCGTAATCCATTCTATTTAAAACATAGACAATCTACAAAGAGCTAACAACAGAAGGAAACAAAATCTTACTTGGTTTATTTTAGTCATCCTAATTCTTAGCAGAAAATGAACAGAAACACGAACTAAAGCATATATAACATCATTCATTAAAAGAAAACAAAGTAACTCTCTTCCACTGAGCTAGTCTAAAATGCACTGTTGAGTCAATCTCCTATCAGTCTGGCCTTCTTTCTTGCCTGGTTAGAGAATGAAATGAGGTTTTTCTGTTCCCTACACACATGAAAACATTCATATAACAAAATTAGGAAATTACTTGGGGCACCAAGTAACCAGTGAGACCCACTTGAACAAATACATAATTACAAATCACAATTAGCTAATGTTATCAAATAGTTTTGAATGGTTCACTCATTTAACTTTTGTGCATTTATTTATGCGTTTGAGCTTCAAGAAGAAAAAGGAAAAAGCAAATAGGATTTCAAGCAATAAACTAAGCTCCTAATGAACAAATTTGACAAAAAGCACATTAATTTAAACGGTAGCTCATCAAACAAATGCTTATACAAAAAGTTGAACTCTCTACCATTAATTTCTTTAAATTTTTAAAATAAGTGTGGGATTTTAATAGCACAAGAAGGCTTAACTGCTTCAGGAGCATGCATATACACAAATTACAATGCCATAACAAAAAGGGACAACAATCTATTGATTGAGAACATTACAAGCAAGTGAGATATGAAGATGTATCACCTTTCTATGAAGACATCTATGCTCATTAAAACACAATAAAAACCTTTAAATCAAAGGACAGCAACCTTTTCTTTTTAAGCAAGGGTTGTTTGTTTTGCTGTAGACACAGGCCCATAATCACTCATCAGCAACATGAACACAAGGGATTGAAAACTGCTGATCTTCAGGACCATCTCAAGGACCATATCACATTATTTTCTGCATTAACCTTTTGTACTGAACACTTACCTCCCACAGGTGTCCGAGAATAGGAGCATCTGCCCAAGAATGCTCTGCATTCAGACCCATTCTGCCATTTTTGAATACTATAAGAGTGAATGTTTTATCAAACCACCTAAAAAAACAGACATATCTTTATGATTTTTGTATAATTCAATAGCAGTTTTATACTCAAAATAGCATTTTTATACTTCAACTCTCTGAAAAATTCACATTCAAACTTCTTGGTGTCTTCGTGGGGTTTTGGGGGAGGGGGCTGTTTTGGGGTTTTTGTGGGGGTTTTTTGGTTTGTTTTTGTTCCAGGTTTTTTTTGGTGTTGTTTGTTTGTTTGTTTTTTTAAATAATAATTTATTTAAACAAATACGCACACATTTGAACGTGTAATGTCCCACACCCAGGTCAGGGCAATCTCCACTATCAATAAACTTGGGGATGAATGGGTTGACCAGACAGGCAGAGAAGGACTTGGCATACTGGTGGATGAAAAATTGGATGTGAGCTGTCTATATGTGCTTGCAGCTCAGAAATCCAGTAATATTCTGGGCTCCACAAGCAGCAGTGCGGCTGGTAGGCTGAGAAAAGGCAATTCTCATTCTCTAGTCTACTCTTACGAGACCCCATCTGGAATACAGCACACGGTTCTGAGGTCTCCAGTACAAGAAAGACATGGACCTATTAAAGGAAGTCCAGGGGAAGGCCATAAAAATGGTCAGAGGGCTGGAACACCTCTCCCATGGAGCAAGGCTGAGAGCTAGGTTGATCACTCTGGAGAAGAGAAGGCTCTAGGATACCTTCTTGAGGTCTTTCAGTATATGATGAGGACTTGAGAAAAACTGAGAAAGACTTTTTACCATGGTTCATAGTGATACGACAAGGGACAATGATTATCAACTGAAAGAGGGTAGATTTACTCACAAGGGTTTTTTTACAACAAGGCCAGAGAGACACTCGAACAGGTTGCCCAGAGAAATTGTGGATGTCTCATCACTGGAAGTGTTCAAAGTCAGGCTCAAAATCCTATCCAACCTGATGTAATGAAAAAGTTTTTTCTGCCCATGGGAAGGGTAGACTATACGACCTTTAAAGGTGCCTTCCAATACAAAGCATTCAGTGATTCTACGAAATTTATCAGCTTGTAGGTCACTAACTCATATGAATTAGAAAATTCTATAAAACAGAAGGTGTTTTCCTGAGTCAATACTGTACCTGTCATAACATCTGCCATGCATTAAGGATTTTGCATATGCATCAAGTGACCTCACTGGATCTTCTTTCCTGTACCCTTGCACGCTGTCATCCAATGTCACAAAAAATGCTGCTTTTTCAACAGCATCTAAGGACTGTTTGTTCTTTCCACGGCTAAAATAAGCCTGTCGAGCTTTAGCCCATGGTACTCTGCAAAAAGGATTTGTTTTATAGTCAGATTACATGAATTTGCCAATGTTTTACCACCTTTGTTTTGTACATGCTAGTCACGAATATGGAGTTAGCTACTGAATTCTTAATTTTCCATGAAAAATATATTCTTACCAAAATCTAAATTTTTAAAATATTCTTTAAAACGCCAGTGAACCTGAGCCAATTTAAAACTCGAGTAATTCAATATGTTTAATACCGTAAAGCTTCCAGTTACCACTCCTGTGATAACCAAACTTCTCCAGCTAAGGGTTGCCACTGCAAAAATTAATTTTTACTCCTTGTAGTTACAAATGACTGAAGAGCTGTTACATGTTAGTAATGTATAAAATCAAGATTTCATCAACTGGCTATTTTAAAACTCCAATATTAAATTATTATGTTACACAACTATTTCTAAATACTAGAAATATTTTTAAAATAGTAGCACCATACCTATCTCCTGCAGTAAGAGCTGCTAGTTTCTCTTCACCAGCCTGAGGCTCTGAATCATCATCAAGAATTCTTTGCATCTGTTGTTCTATTTCTCGGGGTTTCAACAGTCTACCATCATGGTACAGCCATACTTTGAAGTAACGGCCCTTATGATACACAACAATGTGTTTGCTGTCGTTCACATGCTGGAGAGTATCTAGAATTGCAATCACTTACATGAAAACAAAGCTCAAAGTCTCAAAACATTAATGCACTAAAAAAACATCAAATGCCTACTGCATGCACTACTAGCCACAGATAATTTATTTTAAGTAATAAATAGTGTGGAATAAACCACGACCCCATGTTATTTCAGCATAAAGATTCCTGCAAATACCCAGATTTGATAATCATTTGTATATATAATTTGGTAAGTTTTCACACTGGAAGCCAATATTAAGCAACTAAATCTCTGCTTCTGAAAAGTTGAGTACCAGCAGTGTAGTTTCATTGAGCAGTAAGCAAAAGAACATGCCACATGAGTCTGAGTAAAGGTACTTTTCAATCATGTGCATTTGACTGCTAGACAAGTGGTGGTACAATCTGTGGAGAGTCTTAAGAGAGCCCAAATTTAGTACCATAAGCTTTTGTTCACATTTAAACTGATAGATGCAGAGGGAATATTACTAATATTCCATGTTATGGAAGTCAGCAAAGCAGAAACCTAGGCCGCATTTTTTTCCCCTCACTTTACTGTTTATACGGGTTAATTGGGATAAGCCTGAACTCACTAACAAAGACATATCAAAACACAGAATACGGTTTCTGTAGCAGCCAGGAAAAGCCCTCAATTGATGAAAAATGTCAATTCAATTCCTTCAGTCCCCCAAAGAATGGCTATATTCTTAAGAATCTGAAATGACTACAATTAATTTCACAACAGATGTTGAACCCTGGCAATTACTTCTGAGACACTTTACTCACAGGCCTAGATACATACAGATTTATGAACCTGGAGTACAGATGTCTTGTAACACAGAAGTATCTTGTCAGTCCAAAAAGTCACTTATGTACACATGAAGATGCATGTAACATGCTGCATGGGCTTCCTATTAAAACAATGGGAATGGAAAGGCATAAAAGCTGTTCCCTGCTTAAAAGTGGTTTGCTCCAACTGTTTCTTAAAAGACAAAGACTAAACAAGTGCTCAAGTGGTAGGATACAATGTTCATTAAGATTTTACCACCATTTAACATCAAGACATGCCATAGAAATTTTTTTTATTTTAAATATGCTGCTCTTTTAGGAACTGTAACACACAAACTTAAAATATCTTCGTAATTCACTTATCCACATACAGAATGACAAAAGTTGTTTTATTTTAGAAAAAGAAAAACCATGAAAAACTGCAAAATAAAATAAGAAATGTGAAATGCTTAGGAGGAAAATAAAGTAAATTTATGATGCTGACTTCAAGTTGAAGACTATGCAGGAGAAACTGAGGAGAACCATTAAAATATACAGGATGTATTTTAATCAGCTAGAATGGGCCACTTGTACAACTGTTCACTTCAGATTAAGAGAAACCTAAATCCAAAACTAAATGCAAAGAGTTCATACATTTTACTTTAGTGGGGTCAGAGAAATGGCAAGGGTAGCACTTTCAGTACTTTAGTATTCTAAAAAATAATAGCTCATGCACTATAGTTACCTAATAGAGATTTTAAAACTTGATAGCCTACCTAGACTAGCTCATGATCGGTAAGCAATCATACCAGGGGTATGTTTTTATCCATTAGAAGGGATGAAAGCAGATACAGAAAGCTAAGGCATAGTTGGGAAAGAATTCCTCAACCTACCAAAGGCCATTGGCAGAAGCAAAAGAAAAATTTTTATCTGACACATGCACCTTCTGATTTATCCACTAGCCAGTGCCACTTTCTACCCTTATTGAGCTTCATCCCGTACAGCAAGTATCAGACCTCCAGCAGTGAAGAGTGGTTACATTGCTGTGCCTGTTTAGAAAATCTGATTTTTTTATTCTGTAGTTGAGTGGTACTAACGTGCTCAAAGGCAGCTTGAAACGTAAGAGTGAGTTACAGATCTCAAAGAAAGTTTAAAAATACATCCTATCTTCAAGTGATAGCCCATAAGGAAGTGAATTCCCAATGGAGGTGACTAACCAATCACCCCTTGCATTCCAAATTCCTAGTGACTGACCTCTGCATTAATCATGATAACTCTGCCAAATGATGTATTTCATCCCAATATTACCACAATGATGCAGTGTTGGATAAACATGTGAACACAGTTCTAAAGGCACTTCAGCATATAACCAGATTAGAGAAACCTAGATACAGCTTTTGTAGAAAGCACAATAACAAAAGTCTGCACTCAAATCTCCTATGAAATTAGTCCTTTGCTTCTCAAAGAACAACAAAATGGATAGCAATGTCATCTTTCACATATTGACTAGAAATATTAGCATTTCTAGATGCAATCTGTCTCCTTTTACAGAAAAAAATCCACAAAACCAACAACAATAAAAAACCTACTTTAACAGTAAGAGAATAAAAACCAGCTTAAGCCTGGAAAATTTAGAATAAGCTGATAGAGATCTTTAAAGACTACCTTGGGGAGAAACCCATGATGAACCTTTAGGGAAACATTACCTTTAGAAAAATAACACCTTACGCAGAAAAATCAGCCTTAAGACCTTGGATGATGTATTTACCACAAAATGGTCAACTGCTTTTTACATTCCTCTCTTGAGTGCTGCTGACAATGTGAAAACTTACATTATGTCTATAGGCAGCATTAATGAACAAATGCAATGACAGCATATGTACACCTATAGTGAGAATGTGTGTATGAACTGCCACAGATACAATTTATTTTTACTGAGCCAACATGATTTCCTGTTATCATATAAACATATCCTTAAGTCTGCCATAATAAGGAGCAGCTGCAGGAACAGACAGATAAAAATGACTCTGCTCTAAGTATGCTTAGGTATGCTCCTCTATTCAACATCAAAAAGTGAAAACTTAAGTTACTCAGAGTAGGATAATCAGATGACTGTTGGAATTGAGGCAGGAATTTAAAAAACACAGTATATATTTTCTTCATATGTTACAGAAAAAGTTTTGGACTCAGTCTTTATTACAGGTGATTTCACTTAACTGATGTCTTTCTGTGCATGCAAAAGATCAAGGTAACAGTGGCACTGAAAAAATTGTTGACAGAGCTAAGACTGGACCTGCCTCTAAGCCAGGTAAACAACTAGTGTTCATATGGAGAACATGCTGAAATGTTGCTGTGAATTGTAAGCGAAAAAGGGAAAGTCAAGCAAGCAAAAAATTTTCAATTGGTTGAGATAAGAGAACATCACTTTTACAAAGATAAAAGCACAGACAAAAGATCTTGAATGAGTAGAATGGAGAAAAATAAAGTTTATTTATAAATTAAAACTCAAACAACAGTTTCCTGATGTTATATTTTCAATTTAAGACAAAAGATGTTGAAGAACTTTTAAAATCACTCTAAATGGAAAATCATCTATCAATCTATACCAATTACTTTCAGAGTATTGGAACACAGTAATTGTGTGTCCTTGTGTCTGTTAGATCCTTATCTACAAAACCAGGACTTTAGCAGAAAATACTTCCCCAAACTGAATTCTATTAAGTTGCTTATTTTCCTTGGCTGGCCCTGCTTACCTACCTGATTCCTCTCCTGGGATTCGAGAGGTATTAAACATCCGTTCCCACTGAGCTGAGCAGAGCGGAACAGTAGAACCCATCAGAAGAATCTGTGCCACAAATGTACATTAAATTGCAATTTTGCATATACAATTAGCAAATTAAAAAGCAAATTAAAAAGCAAAACCAGGATCTGGTAAAAAAAACCTTAATGTTTTACAGCCTGTCTAATACATCAGCTCTGGGTTTTCCCCCCGTCCATCCCATTTGTTGTCTTTCCTCAAACTACATGTGGAAGATTCCACTGACGTTCTAGTAGCTAGTACTAGTACTAGCTAGTACTTTTCTTTCCTTCTGACTTCAGGAAGGATGACTGCATCTGAAATCCAAAGTGCTCTCAACAGCTGGTCTGCATGCAAAACTTGCACACACAGCATGCATTACCCCTGACTTTATTCTTTTTAGAACTACTTCTGGTTCAGTAGGAAGTTTAGTTCACATCCTCAAATTGTAGTTACATACTACTAATCACATGCCTGCCATGACTTTTCAAAACCACTT